TAATAAGTTAACGAATATAAAAAATGAATTAATAAATGTACACGCAAAGTACTCTGTATGATAATGCAAGTGTATTGAAAAAGGATAAATAAAACTAGAAGGCAAGGATAAAAAGAATAACTCAAATGCATTAGGTGTGATAGAGGTTATTAGAAAAGACAAATTATAAATGAAATCAGTTGAAAGAGAGTTAGATGAAAAAATAAGTAAAAATCAAGTAGAACAAATTAGTTGTTATACAATCAAAATAGATAATTATCGAAAGGGATAATTGCAGAAACCTCCCCTGAGATTTCTGACATTTGCACTGACCTCCCCTCTAGGTTTAGAAATTGCATTCACCTCCCCTGAACTGTAACAATTTGTTGCAGAGACCTCCTTGACAGCTTTTGTAGAAGTGAGATAAGAATTTTCTTCCATTTTTGCCCTTACTTGCTTGACAATTATTATTTGCTTGACAATTGCTTAACTAATTATCTAATTAGTTAATAGTTAAACTAATTAACTATTAACTAATTATCTAATTAACTATTAACTAATTAACTAATTATCTAATTAATTAATTAACTAATTATCTAATTGACTAATTAACTAATTATTTAATTAACTAATTATCTAATTGACTAATTAACTAATTATTTAATTAACTAATTATCTAATTGACTAATTAACTAATTATTTAATTAACTAATTAACTCAAGCTGTTGTCTGTTCGAAACTAACAAACTATTTGCATGTTAAACTAATTAACTAATTAACTGCTTAACTAATTAACTAATTAACTAACTAACTAATTAACTAACTATTTGCATGTTAAACTATATGCAGTACGCATTACCTATTTAAAGTATCTGCTCTTTATGGGTATTTTACTTTCAAACATTTAATTTATGATAAAAACATCAATGTTTGTAAGTAAAATTTAAAAAGTGTTACAATAATATTAATATTCTTACTTTCAAACATTTAATTTATGGCCCTATGCCCCTCCCTTTTTGAAAGAATATTACTGTAACACTTTTTGAATTTTACTTACAAACATTGATGTTTTTATCATAAATTAAATGTTTGAAAGTAAAATACCCATAAAGAACTGATACTTTAAATAGCTAATGCGTACTGCACATAGTTTAACATGCAAATAGTTTTTTAATTAGTTAGTTAGTTAATTAGTTAATTAGTTTAACATGCAAATAATTTGTTAGTTTCGGATAGACAACAGCTTTAGTTAATTAGATAATTAGTTAATTAGATAAATAGAAATTAGTTAATTAGTTAATTAATTAATTAGATAATTAGTTAGTTAATTAGTTAAGCAGTTAATTAGTTTAACATGCAAATAGTTTGTTAGTTTCGGATAGACAACAGCTTTAGTTAATTAGTTAATTAGTTAAACAGTTAATTAGTTAATTAGTTTAACATGCAAATAGTTTGTTAGTTTTGGATAGACAATAACTTTAGTTAATTAGATAATTAGTTAATTAGATAAACAAAAATTAGTTAATTAGTTAATTAATTAATTAGATAATTAGGTAGTTAATTAGTTAAGCAGTTAATTAGTTAATTAATTTAACATGCAAATAGTTTGTTAGTTTCGGACAGACAACAGCTTTAGTTAATTAGTTAATTAGTTAATTAGATAAATAGAAATTAGTTAATTAGTTAATTAGATAATTAGTTAATATTTAATTAGTTTAACTATGCAGAAATAGTTTGATTAGTTAATAACTATTAACAATTAGATAATTAGTTATTAATTAATTAGATTATTAGATTATTAGTGATTTAGTTAATTTGTTAATTAGTTAATTAGTTAAACTATGCAGAAATAGTTAATTTAGTGTAATTTTTATTAACAAATGTTTTGTTGGGTTTGATGAAAGTACTCATCACATTCATTTGGTAAAATTAAATCATGTCAGGGGTACTTTAGTAAATTGACCCACTTTTGCCTATTAAATTGCCTCCAACTTTTGATAGGGGAGGTCAGTGCTATTTCAAAATTGATAGGGGAGGTCAATGCTATTACTATAAAAGTCAGGGGAGGTTTCTGCAATTATCCCTTATCGAAATTGGTAGAGTATAAATGATCAATTCTTGAAATAATAAATATGGTATATGTGTGTATGCGTGCATACATGTGTATATGTGTATGTATTAGTAACCACGATGAAGTCTAACATTCCATATAGGCGCACTTTTGGCGGATATGAGAAGTGAGATTTATGGTCCATAAAAAGGATGTAATTAAAAGTTATAGGATGGAAGCAAAGAAGAGTTAAGTATTGTTACGTTTTTTTAGTGTAAGTGGCAGATCTCGAACTTAGAAATAAGTTCATACACTCCATTCCACGTACCATCCAAATCATCCATTGCTCTCAAAGTTTCGTGCATAGTACAAGTAAAGGTGTCATGAACATGTTCGAGTTCAGTTCATTTGAGTGACAAAAAAGATTGATTGTGTAATAAACGAATCAAACTTGAACACGATATTGGTTCATTTAATAGTCGAGATGAGCACGATCCTATTTACAAACTATTCAAATAGTTCGTGAACACATATAGAATGACAAAGAATAAATGAATAGCAATATGAGTATATATTTAAATATAGGATATATATGTCTTGTTTCATTAAAAAAGTAATTATACATGAAATGAATATTATTTAATTTGTAAAAAAAGAAGCGTAATTAAACTTATTCTAAATCATGAATGATTTTTAAAATGCATAATGAAATAGTTTTCAAACTGAAATTGGAGTTAGAGCTCAAGGTTGAATTCGATTCCAGGAGATTTTAACAAATTGACATCGAATTTGAAGTCAAACATATATACAAATTATTGAAGCGAATTCGAGCAGCATTTATAGGTCGTTTAATATTCAATCAAGGTCAAATTATGTTCATATAATATGTGAACATATGTTGAACATCATGAAATATAATGGATTTGGCTCGTGGAAAACATATTATACAAATATAATAAAGGTAAGAAAATCTGTGAACCTAGTAAATTAAATGGTAGAGAAAGTGAATGGGAAGTAGATGAATGATCGATTGCTAAGTAGAAAAAAGGGAAAACATTTGTTTTGGGTAATTTGGTAGAGAGCAAAATGCACAAGATATTAGCAATGCTTTAAAACCTAGTTAAGACTATATGCTCGATGCAGTTACAACGTTGCATAAAAAATGAGCTTATCGATTAAAAAAATGGAAAAATTGCCGAGTTGTGTTGTTAACCTCTTAAATGGGAACAATTTTGAGAGAACTTAGTGATGCTATATGTTGCTTTAATGAAGTCCCAAAAAGATTAAAATCGGTCAACGAATGTAACATTAATAATATATATCATAGGTGTCAATGCATCTCATTTGTATGTACCTTTTTTGAATGCCTATCGTACAAAATAGTATTCACATAATTAAGATAATTTAAAATGTGAATGTTAAAAATGAAATAACTAATTGTATGGAAATGTGTTGTAGTCTGTACTTATATAATTTACCTTAGTCTAAAATAGCCAATAGTGAGGACATTAAAATGAGAATTCTTGCCAAAGCAATCCAAGAATTTGTTAGGAATCTTACAAGATTGGTTCATTATTATGTCTCTGATAAATGGTCATAATTTCATCTGGGTTTGAATCGTACTGAGAGGTACAATAATTTAGAGTTAAAAACATTGTTGAAAAAAAACAAGATTCCTTTTGTCCTTTCTAGGCAATCGAAAAATATATTGAAGGTACTAATGTCTTTACAAAATACCATTTCAATTCATCTTATTTTATTAAATATGGGATGTGATATAATTCTGAAGGATGAATCGAATATATATGTATATTTGTACTTTTAGTTTGCAAAACAGTACGGGTGCTGATTCATTTGAATTATTTTCATTACCGCTACCACCTCGACCGCCCACTAAGCATTCACGGTCCATGGATAACACCTAACTCACTGTCAAACCGGTAAGAAATCAATACTGTTGGGCTGCAACCAAACAGCACGTGCTGGCCCTTCCCATCAATGCTGCTGCAGTGGCTCATTGCACACCACATCCTTCCAAACCATTGGTTTACTCTTTCTGGAGACATCCGTACTGTCTCCACTGTATAACCATCCATAATTTCAAAGGGAAAAATGCACATTTCATTCTCTAAGTTTGGGTGTTGATCAATTTCGTTCTCAAAGTTTCACAAAAAACACATTTCATCCTCAAAGATCCTTAATTTTGGCCAATTAAGGACAATTGAAGGGAATTTGCACGTGAGTCATCAAAACCAACTTTATACCTAACAAAAAAGGGTCAAACCGAATGGACCCAATTTTTAACGGACCGAAATTTGCAACAGATGAAAACCAACATTCTTCTCCTTCTTTCCTCACTTTCTGCAACCCTAAAATTTTTTGCCAATCTCACCTTTATAATTTTTCCCTAATTCAAAGCATTTGCTAGCGAGAAGTTTAGAAGTGGTGAAGTTTTCATGTCAATGAGAAGCAAAAGTTTTGAAGTCTCCAGTGGTTCATCCATACCATTTTGCAATTGTGGCTTGAGGACAAATATGAGTACCTATTGGCGTGGTGAGAATTCGAGAAGAAGATCCTTGGTTGCTTCTCTGTGGCCGATAAGAAATATTTGTCTATAAATATTGGTTCTTCAACGTGTTAATTTAACTAACTAATTTCTGAAAAATGTCATTATTGTTATGATAGAGACTTGAGAGATGCAGGTATTTTGAATGGGTTGATGAGCCAATTTGTCCAAGAGGGAGAGTTCTCATTCCTGGTTTGCAGAAAAGGTTAACAAAAATGGAAGAAAATGTTGAAAGAATGCGTAAGAGGGAGAAAATTTTGATTACCATAATTATGCTTTTGATGGGTTTGCTAGTGCTGAGTTGGAGGAGTAAAGGTGAGGGAAAAGCAAAGGGAGGCAAGTTGCTGCTAACACTGAAGTGATTTTGCTAAAATTGCAGAAGAACATTCTAAAGGTGGCTACAGTCTGAAGTTGGTGATTTTGTGTAGAGAGTTCACTGTTATAATTATGGGAAGACTGTATGAACAGGCTGGAATCTGAACATTTATATAAAATTCTTCAATAGTTGGATTTCCTATTTTACTTTTTATTCCATTAAATTTGCTGTAAATGCAGGTGAACTTTTCTTATTTTGAAGCAGGAGAAAACAAACAAGCCCTGGTGAAATTGGTGACATGTGAAAAGTAAGATGCTTGTTTCTATTTCGTACAAGTTTGCCCATTTTTAGTTAAATTTTTAGGTTGTTTTGTTACTGAAAATCACAACTTTTAATTTGCTGATGATGAACAAATTTACTTTTACAAAGTAAGTGTTTCTGGGTTGCCTCAAGTTATTTCTTTGAAATGACACAAATTTTGCTTTTTGTGCACAAGAAGCACAATGGATCAGTGATACTTAGCAGTTACTTTGTGCTTACACATTAAGCTTATCTGGCTGTTTCAGGACTGGCTTTTCTGTAGAACCTTATGAATTGACTACCCAGCAAAGTTGTTTTTGACCTCTGTTCAAGTGTTTCTGTCCCCTGGAAATATTGGAAGACTCAACTTATATTGGTATCTGTCTGAATTTCAAAGACAGAGACAGGTCAATAACAGGAGCTGATGCAGAGTTCATAGGGGTCTATAATGATGTTTGGATAATTCTAAAAACTCAATGGAATTCTGGATTTTCTGGATTGCTTGAGGGTCATTTGGATATCGTAGTACTTAGTATTTTGTCCTAGAGGAAGTTAAACTACTGGAGTTGTCAAATTCATTTTGGCTTCTTAAACCTATAGCTTTTAGCCCTTGTAGTGATTAGGTTTACTTAGTTACAACGTTTTCTTAGTCCTTGAGAAGACTTTGCCTTGAAGACTAGCTTTTCTTTTTAATATATTAGCTGAGAAGTTAGGAAATGTGTTGCTAGGAGATATCGTATCTATATTTAAGCAACATTTTTAATAGCATTAGAGTAAGAAGTGCTTTTGTTGGCAAAGTAAGGAAGTGTATTTGGGAGATCAGAACCTAGTTGACATATGAAGTCATGTCGAGTTTATGTAGTTTTGTGATTTCCTTGAGAATTGAGAACAACGTCACTAAGTAAATATACCTAGGCAAATCTTGTTTGGATTCCTAGAGCTTCTTAATTCTCTTGCTCTCTTGCTTCCTCCTCAAATCCTACTTCTAAACTCCCATTCTCAGACTTCAGATCTAAAAGTTCTGAAACTATCTTCCGATTCTTAAAGGGTCTACCACTAAGTTTTGAAATCAAATACCACTAAGTTTTGAAATCAAAGTTAATGTCAATATGCTTCCCATGCTACATCAGGAGCATTGCTCTTTTAGTAGCTTCTGCTTATATTTCATGACTATTAAGACCTCTGAGAAATCAATTTAGCGTAGATCCGACAACATTAGGGAACTACAGATCTTTCAGGAATGGGGAGAAAAAAACAAGACATTTTAGTTTCATCCCTGGTTCATGATTCTGTGTCAACGGTGTTAAAAATATTTGTCTAGCTTAAAGCAAAATATTGACATGATTGAATACAAATTTAGGGCGGATGGTGGCAAGATAATGGATACCACCTGGGTCTGAGGTGCTTAAAATTAAAGTGGATGGGGCTTTTCATGGTGATGTTACGGGAATTGGAGCAGCAGTTCAGGACCACTCTGGGATTGTTCAAGTAGCTTTCACAGAAAGAATTTATGATGCTTTAGATGTTAGTCATGTTATGCTTCTAGCTTTTCTTAAAGCTCCTCTTTGTGAACAATGTTCGGATCAGTCACTTAGTCATTGCAGGGGACTCTCTTAATATTGTTTGGAAGATTAATGACACCAAAGATGATCTCTGAGTGATTGGACACCCAGTTCACGAAGTGAGAATGTTACTTTTTGATTTTGATCAGGTTTCTGGAGTACATGATAAGTGGAAAGGAAATGTTTCTGCTCATCTTTTAGCTCTTAGTGCTCTTTCCCTTGTTCATCGTGCTGTTTAGTGGGATTGTTTTCCATCTGATGCAATCTTCGCTGCAGTGGCGGATGTACATTAATAAAATCTCATGTTTGATATCAAAAAGTAAAATAAAATACTTCATCTTCAGGTCATAATTTGGTGGGTTAACAACCTGGTGAAATTTATATTTCATTTTGACAGCTGCATCTTATACGTTTTGTTCAAAACAGATGTGCGGAAAAGCTTCTTTACAAGAACCAGAAAGAGAAAAAACAATCAGTACAGAGGGAATATGTAGAGCATTCAAGGAAAAGGTGCATCTCATTAGCCACCTGATACCTACATCCACAAGATTCTTTTATTCTCATTCCTCTGATTTCTGGCATATTTCCAGGGAAAGATCAGAAAGTGATGATGATTCAGACAGTCATTATGACAGGAGGAAAGATAAGAGAAAAGGTTTGATATTAACAATTTTATTGTATGACGGTATGCATGTCAGAATAATGGATGAAGTGGGTTCTTAATTAGATAGTTGAGAGCATAATTAGCCGTCCTTATTTCTGATACAGGAGTAGGAGGAACGTGTCAGTATTTGGTCACACATTGGGACCTTGATTTTTTAGCAGGTGGTGTCCTTAATATGGCACGTTTTTGGCCTTCTTTAAAGCATGATAGTTTTTCAAAGAAAGAAAAACACAAATGAAACTGAAACTTTGAAAGTGATCCATTTATTTGGAACAATTTGTTGCTGATTTTCACTTGAAGTTTTCTCTCTGAATTGTTGCTGATTTTAATTTTTGGTGCTTTCTGAAATTTATTAATTGATTGCAATGCTGTTTACCTACATTAATGTCTGCACTTTAATGCAGTTAATTCTTCAACGCCTATGAAGTATGGGTGGCTGTCTTCACTGGACTTGTCTCTGACACTAGAGCATTTTCTTAACAATCTCGAACAAGTTTTAACCCTTCTTATAGTTAAATTCATAAATTTTGGTCACGTGTCATGCACTTGTGATATTTTGTTTACTGAATTGAACAAGTCTTAACTGTTACAAGTTACTTGAAATATTTAAAGACCAAAGAGTGCATACAACTTCTGCATCAATCAAGGCTCAGTCTGGTACAAACATATAAAAGAAACCGTTCTTAGAAAAAGCTAGTTATCTGGACTAAGGACTTACTAAAAAGTAAAAAGCCATGAAATAGTAAGGAAATTGACATCTACTAATTGCAGGAACTTGCATCCATTAGTTTTTCTCTGTGGTATATAGTTTTGATTGTGAAAAATTTTTGGTGTGTTCTTTGACTTGAATCTTCTCAATATTTCCTGTCCATTATGATGGGAGAATTTAGACCCAACCTTTTGCTTTTGTGTTATGCATTCACCTCTTGTTAAGTACTAGCTGTGTAATAAGCACGTGTCAATTAGCTTTAGCCAAGTTTCTAATTCTGTACAGATAGTATTGCTATGTCTGAATACTTCGATTACAACGTAGAGAAGCTAAAAGTTTGGTGAAGCTATTTTTTCACTGTAATAGATGCGGTCTGTAGCTTTCGTACATGGCCTCATATGTTCATCTATTGGGCATCTTTTAGCTCTACTGTAATAGATATGGATGTTGTCAAGTAGTTTCATGTCTTCCAATGGACGAGAAACCCCATTTGGTGGCCAGGGTTTTGTCTGAAAAACCATTTAGCCTCTATCTGCACTTTTCACGGGTGGCTTAGCTATTTAACTGATGCACTATTTGCAGAATCAATATGTTGCCTAGCAGATTCAATACGTTGCTGATTTCGGAACTTTCACATGAAAAATAAAATATCTAAAACGATGTCTTATTTCTTATCTCAGGGTTAGCTTCCTTATACTTGTCCTGCATGTTTCTTTGTAGGGAGAAAGGCTTCAACTTCAATAAGGGATGACAATGACAATGATGATGACAACATTGATGAATATCTTGAGGGCATGTTTCCTTGAAACAGCTGAATTCCTGATTTATGTCCAACAGATCAGAAGCTAGAAGCTGTACAGTCTATAACGTAGATTGCAAAGCTGGGAAGAAAAAATTATCCTTAAAAGTAATTTCTTGCCAGTTTCAGTGCCTCTTTGGTTCTTATCCTTCTTTTTCCAGAAGTGGAGTATGGATGAAGAGGCGGACAAAGGGATTGGGTAATATGAGCATAAAAAATACTTGGACCACGTTAGAGTTGTTTTAATAGGCACTTAACTCCGTACATGATGTGCTTGGTTTAAACTATTCCGTTCATTATGTGTTTGGACAAAATTATCTTTGTAACTTTGATTATTTTTATTTTTTTCCTTTTTCTATCTCTTCCTTTTGCTATTCTTTTCTTTCTTTTGGAGAACATCGACGGGAAACATCATGTGTTCATCTACATTTAAGGGGAGTGTTTTTATTCGGGACACAATAGATTATATTTTACGTTTACTTCTATTCTATATTAGGGAGAGGGGAGGATTCACGGGGGTCAAAGGGGAATTCGAAGGAAACTGAATAACCATCAGTCCAAACAGGTGCTTATGCATTCGTTAGCGAGTTTTTTCAGGAAAGGCTAAATTTTTTATAATGCAAACTAAAGGGATTGGATCACTTGATCTGTACTGTTGTTAGATTTACATTTATGAGGAGTGACACAAAAGGATGCATGATGGCATAAAGAGGGTAAAAGCTATACCATAATGATCATTTGGTTTAATTTAATTTTACCTTTAATATTGGGTTTAGGTGCCCAACTAAATTTTCAATTCAATATGCCAAACATATTATAATATGCGTTTACATCCAAAAACAAAAGAGTCATACAGGTGTACACACATTTAGTCTGTGTATGCACGACGCTAAAGAAAAAAATTACGCATTTTATATTCTTTGTGAATACTTGATGATTTTTCAGGTACCATTGATACACTAAAACAATTTATCTGTGTTTCCTCTTCAACTGATACATCAACACAATTTGTCCAAATCGCGAATTGTTGGTATAATGATTGGTTGTGCTACAAATCCTTAATATCAAGCAAATTTAGTGTGTTTTTTGATATAAATATTTTTTAATTATTATTTTGTTTGTATTATAAACATATTTTTCAATTGTCTTTATATATTTTTAATTATCCTTTTATCTCACTCACGTATATCAAATCACAAAAATGTGTTATGGTAATTATTTGAAATAATAATTTAAAGAATACTCTATCCAAATATTATTGATGATATATTTCAAATAATATTCACTACTGACCAAATTTTGAATCATAGGTTGAAACCTTAAAACGTTGGGATTATGAATTTTAACTTTTAATCCCCACTTTAATAATCATTTTTTTGATCCCATCCCTCCCCTGTTAGGAAAAAAATTTCAAAAATTCATATTAGAAAATTTCATATTAAAAATTCCCATGCCGAAGTGATGAGGTGTTAGAGGACAAATTCCCACCGTCCACGTGTCTGATCCAAAGCCACCACGTGCGTGTGACTCACGGTCAGCTGACGTCTTCACCTTCGACCGTCAACCTCTGTTATGATGATTGATGACGACAACTCACCGTCAGTTAGCGGCCGTCTGGCGTCAGTTCTCCGTTAAGTCCGAATAACTGCTTTGCTATTATCTGACGGGGACCACGTGTCAAGCACCAAAATGTGGGCCCCAATGACCAATTTATTATGAGCCTGACACGTTGTGGCCTCCCAATACAAGTGGCTTAGCTGGCCATAACTTTCTTTAAGTATCTTACTTATAATTATAAATCAAGCACTAATTGCTGTCTTCATCATAATTATCCATTAAGCTTTTAAGTGACTAATTTGCCCTTGAAACCCTACTAAGTAAGTTGGGGGTTTCTTTTCTTGGCCTTAATTCTTTTCCATGGATTACTTTTAAGAGGTATTAGCCTTGTTCTCTAACTGCTTTTGATTGTGTAAAGATTGATTTTAAAAAATCAGAATAAAAAACCATGAAAATAGATTTTTTGATTTTTAGAATTTTTTTAGTTCAAAAAATCCAAATCCAGGATAAAAAAAAATCAGTTGAAAACACAATAAATTGAAAATCAAAATCTTAAATCAGGAATTGAAAATAAATTGAGAACAAGGTCATTGAGTAGGAGAGGTTTTTTGATGTTTGGAACACATATTTCAAGAAGGGACAAATTTTGTCATATTATTGTTATTTTGGTGCCTAAGTTCATTGTGTCAGCATATACACATTAGCTTAGAAAATTGAAACTTGTAATTGTTGAGGCCCTAAGCTAGGAATTTTGGGTCCTTTTTTTTTTTTTTTTGAGGAAGAATTTTAGGTCTTGGCGACTAAAGATGTTGAGTTGGAAAATGAGAAGTTATCTGAACATCATCCACTTGGGGTTTGGGCATAACCATATGGCACAGTTCCCAGAAAAGTGAGTTTCATGATTTTATGTTTAAAGTCAATAAAATTGACAAATAACTAGGGATTAAGTCACTCTAGTTCATAACCTAGAGCTTCCTTTTTGGCCTGTCTCCATCATTTTTTCAATTTGCAGTTGGATGGGATCCAGTCAGTAGGAATATTGATTAACTTATGCCAAATATGGTTAATTATGGATCAACTTACAACTCATGTTTCGTAAACTTTTTATATGTTTGGTTGGGAAAAATGCTTGTCTCCATCCTTTTGTATTTTTTTTAGTGTAAGTAGGAGTGTTGAACTTGAGATCTCTCGTTTACACTCTATTCTGAACCACTCAATTTATTGCTCCCCGGTTGTACTTAAAAGACTTTCATTGGATCCAAATTCTGTCCCACAAAACGGATAATAATTAAGCTATATATGACTTAGGTGTAGTTTTGTCATCCTCTAGTTTCTTCCAGAGTATATTATGGTTTTTATTTTGACTATAACGTAGAAATTAAATTATTGAAGTTCACGAAAATATATTAGTCTTTAAGAATTATTTGATTTTTCACAATTCCACTTAACTGTTTCTCAGCGAATGATTTATTCCAAATGTAAATTAAAATTGTAGTCCAATAAAATGGGCTAATCCAAAAGGTGAAATTTGTAAATGATTAACGTGTATGGTAAGGAACTAATAGGATGCAAGAATTTGTAACTTCCTTACCTAACTTTAAGTAATTTACTTATATATTTATAGACCTTTCCCATTTATAATCATGATCCTCATTATCTTTTTCTCTAATATGCTTGGTACATAGTTTACTTCCGTTTTGCTGTTCAACACTGGAAACAATAAACAAATAGAAGCTTTTAATTGTACAAAACATTGAAATAATATTTTTGTCTACAGCCGGCAGTACAAGTAAACCATGGATGACATGACAAATCCCTTGTGAGTTTTGGGATGTTCGGCTTCATGGCTTGCATATTTTTTTGTGTCTTATTCAACCTAATCTCGTCTCTATACTCTCAAGTTTGTAGTCAAAAATAGGAGGTAGGGAAAAAATTGTCAGATTATGTTCATTCTATTAACTGCAAATCCTTTATCTCTGGGGCATATATTTGTTAGAATGAAAAATTCTTTGCATGAATGAATCCGGGATAGTAGAAACAATGAAAAGTGAATGGAAATCATCTTGGATATTAGACACAAAATAGAACATCAAATATGGGATTGGAAAGATGGTAGAATAGAAGTCATCGTGTAAACATGGCGTAGTCCTGTTTGGATTGCAGTTTTCTGGAATTTTTGTAGAAAAATGTACCGTAATGATTTGATATATATGAGATAAAAAGGTGAGCAAAAAATATATTCACAAACAACATATTATTTTTTAATGGAAAACATAGCCATTTTCCCACCATGTTGGAAGTTGGAACTACTTGGAAGATTGGCAACTTAACGGACTAGTAAGCCAATTCTTTGACATAGAAAAACAATCAGTAGAGGTTGGGGATTTTTGTACATATTTTCTTTGTCTCAATCATGATGTATGTTCAATATCTTACAATTTGATTTTGTGTACAAGTTGATTATAAAATGGGTCTAAAACTTTAATATCTCAATCAAACTTGATATGCTTTTAAAAACAATGTTGACTTTCAAATTGCTTCTTCCAACTAGTCGAAATTAACACAAGAACAATTAGATTAGAAACACTTAGAGGTAATCGAAATCCTGGTTCAAATTGCTTCTCAATCATGTTTGCAAGGCTCCAAGGCTGCAAGTCATACCTATATGGCTAAAAAGAAACCATAAGTTGCCAAAATGCATTGTCAAACGTTCACAATATCATATCAAATCACCTTCTATTTTAGTTTTTAAGACTTGCATATTAAATCACCTTCTAAATTCATTAACTTAGGTATGAAAAATCTTTCACTATTCTCAACAAAATCAAACTCATTGTTAAGAGATCCTACTTTAAGATTTATGATAATAATTATTAGGTATAATCACCAAATGCCTCACTGTGATAATACTTCAATAGCAAATTGCCCCTCATGTACAAGAAATACACAAATTGCCCCCTCTCAATTGCAAAAAGACAGTCATGTTCTTGCATACTTATTTCTTTGATAGTTTTAATCTTTTGGCACCAAAAAGCTAAATTTAACCTTTAAGGTCCAAAATTATATTCCTTTTTAAGTTTTATTAATAATTGTTATATTAATAGAGGTTTTGTCTCATGAATGATACATTTAAAACAGCTTATAGCTTTTTTTATGGAGAAGGAAAGGAAACCAAAAAAAAAACAAAAACAAAAGGGAAAAGAAGGAAAAAGAAACATTTCACAATTAAATTTTTGAGTTTTATTTCTTTCAATTTTGATTATGACGAAGCAAGAGACAGATTTTGTTAACATCAAAAGTAGAAGCCATTTTTTGATAAAAATATATATAAGCCATTTTTGACATCTAAAACTTTACCCCTAGTAATACAACAATTCTCCATGAAGAAAACCATAATTTTGGACCAAAAAAGGTGCAATTTGGTATACATATTTGGTCTTTTGGTGTCAAAAGATTAAAAATGCCAAAGAAACAAGTATTTAAGGGCATGACCATCTTTTCATAATTTAGCGGGGGGCAATTTGTGTGTTTCATGAATACGAGGGGCAATTTGTTACTGAAATAATATTACATCCGGTATTGAAGATTATGCCTAATTATTAATATCCTTATAGTATGGGTCCATGATTTAGGAGTCCAATTTAAGATTTATGATATCTTTCTATATATAAAAAATGTTGGCATTAAAATTTTTTTGTCATTATTTGTTATTCCAGTTTTACCTCTAAGTATAGATTTATACATATAATCACCACAAACAAACTAATATCAATAATTTATTTAATTTCAACGACTTCCAATAAT